AACTTGTGATTTTGTGATACAAAATCCAGCATAGAGATCTCATTTGCTGTGACATACTGTGCTTTTGTGTCAGTAAAATAATAATAATAATAATATTAATGTCATATAATCTCAAAGTTGGAAGAGACCCTCAAAGTCCATCCATTTCAACCTCTATAGACAGACAGACAGAGTCATATAATCCCAAGAGGTGGAAGGGACCCCCAAAGGTCATCCAGTCCAACCTCCATATATGGATGGACGGATTCCTGTAATCCCAGGGTTGGAAGGGTGTCCTTTGCTGCCTTTTCCCATGCCAGTCTGAGCCTTTATTCCTTTAGATTGTTTATACTGGGCATTGAGAGCCACCGGAGCAGGAAAGGTATGCGATGATGGTCCCTGGCCAGGCGCCCGGATGGATTCAGCTGGGGGCCCCTCTTCTGCCCCTTCATATCTGCCATCGTGGCTTGAATGAAGTGACTGTTCTGCCCAGACTTGGGACCTCCCTCCAGGTGTTTTGGACTGTAACTCCCATCATTCCTAACAGCCTCAGGCCCTTTCCTTTTCCCCCGCTTAAGCGGCTGAGGGGGAAAAGGAAGGGGCCTGAGGCTGTTAGGAATGATGGGAGTTGAAGTCCAAAACACCTGGAGAGAGGGCCCAAGTTGGCCCACACCTGCTTTCAACTTTCCTTCCTCCTTGACCGATTCCCTGCTCTCTCTCCCTCCCTCCCTCCTTCCCCGGCAGGTCCCTTATTACGAATGGCTGGACTTGAAGTCGGAGTGGCAGAAGGCAGCCTTCCTGCGGGACAAGATGAGCAAGGCGGTGGCCGAAGAGATGGCCAAGTGACCATCCGAGGGAAGAAGCCAACGGGAGTTCTGACCCCAGGATGCGTCCTGTGTGCATCTCTGGGCATGCCTTTCTCGCGGTGTATATACATGTGGATTACGAATAAATGTACAGCCGTGATCACACATCCCTCCGCCTCTTCTTTGCTGCTGGGAAGTTTAGGGGGCTATGTTATTATTATTTTATTATTTATTATTGTTACTAATGATTATTTTATTTTTATTTAATTATATTATTAATAATTAATTTTTATTTTATTATTTTATTATTTATTATTGTTACTAATTATTTTATTTTTATTTTATTATATTATTAATAATAATTATTTGTTATTTTATTATTAAGTAGTGTTATTAATTTTTTATTTAATGATATTGTTAATTTATTTATTGTTTTATTTTTTAATAATTATTATCAATTATTTTTATTATTCATTTATTTTATTTATTATTATTGTTACTAATGATTATTTTATTTTTATTTAATTATATTATTAATAATTAATTTTTATTTTATTATTTTATTATTTATTATTGTTACTAATTATTTTATTTTTATTTTATTATATTATTAATAATAATTATTTGTTATTTTATTATTAAGTAGTGTTATCAATTTTTTATTTAATGATATTGTTAATTTATTTATTGTTTTATTTTTTAATAATTATTATCAATTATTTTTATTATTCATTTATTTTATTTATTATTATTGTTACTAATTATTATTTTATTTTTATTTAATGATATTGTTAATTTATTTATTGTTTTACTTTTTATTAATTATTATCAATCATTTTTATTATTATTCATTTATTTTATTTATTATTATTGTTATTAATTATTTTGTTTTTATTTAATGATATCCTTGTTAATAATATATTATTTATCGGTTTATTTTAGAATTATTATTTTATTTTTATTTAATTATATTATTGTTAATAATTTATTGTTTATTGTTTTATTTTATTATCAAGTTTTGTTATTAATTATTTTATTTTTATTTAATGATATTGTTAATAATTTATTATTTATTGTTTTATTTTTTATTAATTATTATAAAAAATATTCATTTATTTTATTTATTATTATTGTTATTAATTCTTATTTTATTTTTATTTAATTATATTATTGTTAATAATTTATTGTTTATTGTTTTATTTTATTAATATTGTTATTAATTATTTTATTTTTATTTAATGATATTGTTAATAATTTATTGTTTTATTTTTTATTAATTATTATCAATTTTTATTATTCATTTATTTTATTTGTTATTGTTATTATTATTTATTTTTATTTAATGATATTGTTAATAATTTATTATCTATTGTTTATTGTTTTATTTTATTTTTATTTAATGATATTATTGTTAATAATTTATTATCTATTGTTTTATTGTTTTATTAATTATTTTATTATTTTTCCGCATCTATGCTCTTCCATATCCACGCTTTTCCGTATCCACGCTCTTCCGCATCCACGCTTTTCCGTATCCACGCTCTTCCATATCCACGCTTTTCCGCATCCACGCTTTTCCGTATCCACGCTTTTCCGCATCCTCGCTTTTCCGCATCCACGCTTTTCTGCATCCACGCTTTTCTGCATCCACGCTCTTCCGCATCCACGCTTTTCCGTATCCACGCTCTTCTGTATCCATGCTTTTCTGTATCCGCGCTTTTCCGTATCCACGCTTTTCCGTATCCATGCTTTTCCGTATCCACGCTTTTCCGCATCCACGCTTTTCCGCATCCACGCTTTCCCGCATCCACGCTTTTCCGCATCCATGCTTTTGCGTATCCACGCTTTTGCGTATCCACTCTTTTGCGTATCCACGCTCTTCCGCATCTATGCTCTTCCGTATCCACGCTTTTCCGTATCCACGCTCTTCCGCATCCACGCTTTTCCGTATCCACGCTTTTCCGTATCCACGCTTTTCCGTATCCACGCTTTTCCGTATCCACGCTTTTCCGCATCCACGCTTTTCCGCATCCACGCTTTTCCGCATCCACGCTTTTCCGCATCCACGCTTTTCCGCATCCACGCTTTTCCGTATCCACGCTCTTCCGCATCCACGCTTTTCCGCATCCACGCTTTTCTGCATCCACGCTTTTCCGTATCCACGCTCTTCCGTATCCATGCTTTTCCGTATCCGCGCTTTTCCGTATCCACGCTTTTCCGTATCCATGCTTATTTTATTATTTTTTTTATTTTATTATTATTCATTTATTTTATATTTTATTTTTTATTATTAATTTTATTATAAATGCTTTTATTATATTATCATATATCTGCACACATTGAGAACTGCTTCCCATTTCTGGAGGAGCTTACGTAATGCTTGCTGCATGTGTCACAGCCCTAAGGCCTGTTCTGTGGGACCCAGGGAATGTCCTCCTCCTCCTCCTCCTCCTCCTCCTCCTCCTCTTTCCAGCAGGATCTCTCCTCCTCTTCTCTTGCCTTCAGGGCCAAGGAAATGCCAGTGCGGATGGCTGCGTGCATCGTGAATTCAAGGCTGGGAGAGAGACCTCGCCGGGGAAAGAATCCTGGTGTTGAATCTCCCTTATGGAGAGACAAAGCGAGATGTAAACAAACATCATCAGGGGCCCCAAGAGGCCAATCAGTCCAACCCTATTCAACACTCATCCGTATCATTGACTTGAATAATCATATAATAATAACAATGTGTTGTCGAAGGCTTTCATGGCCAGAATCACTGGGTTGCAACGTGACACTCTCCTCTTAGGGAGGCATTGAAGCAGGGGCTGGATGGCCATCTGTAGGGAAGGCTTTGTTTGTGCCTTTTTGCAAGAAGAGTATTGGATTGGATGGCCTTTAGAGGCCTCTATTTCAACTCTAGGATGTGGAGCATGACACTCTCCTCTTAGGGAAGCATTTAAGCAGAGGATGGAAGGCCATCTGTAGGGAAAGCTTTGCTTGTGCCTTTTTGCAAGAAGAGTATTGGATTGGATGGCCTTTGGGGTTCCCTTCTGTGCTCTGCTTTCGCCGATGACTTGGGTATTGCAAGAAGATTGGACTGGATGGCCTTTAGGGGCCTCTATTTCAAGTCTAGGATGTGGCTCAGTGGCCATCTGTAGGGAAGGCTTTGCTTGTGCCTTTTTGCAAGAAGAATATTGGACTGGATGGCCTTTGGGGGCCTCTATTTCAGCTCTAGGATGTGGAGCGTGACTCCTTGTAGGGGAGCGTTGAAGCAGGGGCTGGGTGGCCATCTGTAAGGAAGGCTTTGCTTGTGCCTTTTTGCAAGAAGAGTATTGGACTGGATGGCCTTTGGGGCTCCCTTCTGTGAACGGAGCATGTGTGCACGGATGACCGTGCGGCGGTGGTGGAGGAGGAGGAGGAGGCGGTGGGATCCGCTTTGGTGCCTTGGAAGCGGGAGGCTCATGAGGCTTAGTTGGGCCAAGTGTCAGATGCAATCAAGGGCGATCCAGGCACTGACCTCGTTTGCAGAAGCAAGTCAAGAGCAAGGAGCGAGGAAGAGGGATGCACCTCACAACACTGAAGGCAGAAGCCTGGCATCGGAGCAAGGATGCTCAGTGGACTGGAAGAAGGCTTTTCATCTTTGGATCAGGTGTGGGCCAACTTTGGCCCGTGCCTAGTCTATACCTTTAGGAAACGCAGAGGCAAGATCTCCATTGGTCCTTTTCCTTGTCAGCACCTGGACTGTTGCCCTGGAAACCGAGCCCGGTCCCTGCCTCTGTTTCCATGGCAACAAGGAGCAAAACCTCCCGGCCCCCCTTGCATCACAGCGAGGGGGAAGCGGATACGGAAAAGCGTAGATACGGAAAAGCGTGGATGCGGAAAAGCGCGGATACAGAAAAGCGCGGATACGGAAAAGCGCGGATATGGAAAACCATGGATACGGAAGAGCGTGGATACGGAAGAGCGTGGATGCAGAAAAGCATGGATACGGAAAAGCGTGGATGCGGAAGAGCGTGGATACGGAAAAGCGTGGATGCAGAAAAGCGTGGATACGGAAAAGCGAGGATGCGGAAAAACGTGGATACGGAAAAGCGTGGATGCGGAAAAGCGTGGATGCGGAAAAGCGTGGATACGGAAGAGCGTGGATACGGAAGACGTGGATGCAGAAAAGCGTGGATACGGAAAAGCGTGGATGCGGAAAAGCGTGGATGCGGAAAAGCGTGGATGCGGAAAAGCGTGGATACGGAAAAGCGTGGATACGGAAAAGCGTGGATACGGAAAAGCGGATACGGAAGAGCGTGGATACGGAAAAGCGTGGATACGGAAAAGCATGGATGCGGAAGAGCGTGGATACGGAAAAGCGTGGATGCAGCAAAAGCGTGGATACGCAAAAGCATGGATGCGGAAAAGCGTGGATGCGGGAAAGCGTGGATGCGGAAAAGCGTGGATGCGGAAAAGCGTGGATACGGAAAAGCATGGATACGGAAAAGCGTGGATACGGAAAAGCGTGGATGCAGAAAAGCGTGGATACGGAAAAGCGAGGATGCGGAAAAACGTGGATACGGAAAAGCGTGGATGCGGAAAAGCGTGGATGCAGAAAAGCGTGGATACGGAAAAGCGAGGATGCGGAAAAACGTGGATACGGAAAAGCGTGGATGCGGAAAAGCGTGGATGCGGAAAAGCGTGGATACGGAAGAGCATAGATGCGGAAGAGCGTGGATACGCAAAAGCGTGGATACGCAAAAGCATGGATGCGGAAAAGCGTGGATGCGGGAAAGCGTGGATGCGGAAAAGCGTGGATGCGGAAAAGCGTGGATACGGAAAAGCATGGATACGGAAAAGCGTGGATACGGAAAAGCGCGGATACAGAAAAGCATGGATACAGAAGAGCGTGGATACGGAAAAGCGTGGATGCGGAAAAGCGTGGATGCAGAAAAGCGTGGATGCGGAAAAGCGTGGATGCGGAAGAGCGTGGATACGGAAAAGCGTGGATGCAGAAAAGCGTGGATACGGAAAAGCGAGGATGCGGAAAAACGTGGATACGGAAAAGCGTGGATGCGGAAAAGCGTGGATGCGGAAAAGCGTGGATACGGAAGAGCATAGATGCGGAAGAGCGTGGATACGCAAAAGCGTGGATACGCAAAAGCATGGATGCGGAAAAGCGTGGATGCGGGAAAGCGTGGATGCGGAAAAGCGTGGATGCGGAAAAGCGTGGATACGGAAAAGCATGGATAACCCCCTTCAACCCCAACCCGCCCCCCCCCCCCGAATAAATGAATGCAATTTATGCACAATTCTCTTTTGCATTTAATTTGCAGCATCCATGCAAAGAAGGGGGAAATATGTCCGAAACACAATTAAAAACCTGCAACATATAATCAACTATTTTGCATATGCATATCATGATGAAACTTAATTCATACTTTAAACATTGTCGATGTTGGAGTCGCTTTGTGCCTCAATCAAGACGTAAAAGCAGGATATTGTGATATAATAATATGTGTAAATAATAATAATAATGATCAGAAAACAAAAGTGTCACTTTCTCGGCCCTTTGGAATATTTTAGGTGAGGGATGCTCAACCTCTAGAGCTGGGTGGCCATCTGTCGGGAGGGTTTTGATGGTGTCTCCCTGCCTGGCAGAAAGGAGGAGGGTCGGACTGGATGACCTTGGAGTCCCTTTCCAAATTGAACAAAACATAGATTGCTGGGAGCCTGGAGGAGCCTCCTTCTATGGGCTTTTAAACAGAAGATGGATGGCTATCTGTTGGGAGTGCTTTGATTGTGCCTTCCTGACTGGCAGAAAGGAGGCAGGTTGGACTGGATGACCTTAGGGGTCCCTTCCAACTCTAGGGTTCTATGTCTGGTATTGTGTTTAGTGTAATGTACTTTGAGCTGTGAGAAGAATGCAGGTAAGAAATAAAATTTATTGCTATTATTATATTATAAAATATATTAATTATATTATATAATAATAAAATTATTTTATTTTATTATATTATGTTATATAATATTATATAATTACAGGAATAATAAAAGATAATATAATATACTATATTATAATATTATATTGCTATATAATATATTATAATGTAATATTTATATAATATAAAATAATAAAATAAAATAATTTTATTATTGTATTGTTATATAATATTATATTATATTACCCCGGTGGTGATGTGGATTAAACCACTGAGCTGCTGAACTTGGTGACCAAAAGGTCACAGGTCCGAATCCAGGGAGTGGGGTGAGCTCCCGCTGTTAGCCCCAGCTTTTGCCAACCTAGCAGTTCGAAAACATGCAAATGTGAGTAGATCAATAGATACCACTCTGACGGGAAGGTAACAGCGCTCCATGCAGTCATGCTGGCCACATGACCTTGGAGGTGTCTATGGACAATTATATATTATAATATAATTATGATATTATATTTTATTACATTATGTTATATTGTTAAATATTATATTATAATAATATTATATTCTACAATATATATGATAATAAAATTATTTTTATTATTATATTACATTGTAATATAGTATTATATTAAAATATATTATTAAATTTTAATTATTATATTATGCTATATTGTTAAATATTATATTATAATAATATTATATTATATAATAATATATGATAATAAAATTATTTTTATTATTATATTACATTGTTATATTATAGTATTATATTAAAAATATTATATTGTTAAATTTTAAGTATTATATTATGCTATATTGTTAAATATTATATTATAATAATATATGATAATAAAATTATTATTATATTACATTGTTATATTATAGTATATTATAGTATTATATTAAAATATATTATATTGTTGTTAAATATTATATTATAATAATATCATTATATTATATAATAATATATAATAAATAAATAAAATTATTTTGTTATATTACATACATTGCTATAGTATGTAATATAATAACAAAATATTATATAAAAGGCTTCTCGGCCTTTTGGCTAAGATCAAGTGTAGTGTGTATAGTATTATATTAAAATATATTCTATTGTTAAATTTTAATTATTATATTATGTTATATTGTAAAATATTATATTATAATAATGGATTGTTGTAGGTTTTTTCGGGCTATATAGCCATGTTCTAGAGAGGCATTCTCTCCTATATAATAATATTATTGAATAATATAATAACATTATTTTTATTATTATATTATATTGTTATACTATATTATAATATATTGTTAAATTTTAATATAATAATAATATAATATTGTATCAATGAATTATAATATAATGTAACAAATTTATTTTATTATATTTTATTTATTTTATTATAATATTATAATTATATAACAAATTTATTTTATTATAATTTATTTTATTATATATTATTATATTGTATTGTTATATAATATGACATTATAGTAATGTAACAATAACATTATATCAACAATAAAATATAATATTAATAAAATAGAATAGATTATTATTATAATATAATAATATTTATTAATAATAATATAACTTATTTTTATTATATTATATTATATTATTATTCATATTGTAATATTATTTTATTTTTATATTATAATAATATATAATATTATATAATAATTATAATATAATTATTATTTTATTATATATATTATAATAATTGTATTTTATATAATAATAATTAATAATTACAATACATTATATAATAATATATATTATATATATATTATATTATTATATTATATATTGTTAAATTATATATAATATTATTTATATTATATTATATTATATTATATTATTTATATTAATAATTATTATATTATATATAATTATTATAATAATGTAATAATACATATAATAATATTATATATATATATATATATATATATATATATATTTAATATTATAAATAATATAATATAATTATATAATTATAATATATTATATATTATTAATATTATTATATATATATAATAATATATATTATATAATATAATAATATATTATAATAATATAATATAATAATATAATATAATAATATATAATAATATATATATAATAATATAATATAATAATATAATATAATTAATATTAATATTATTTTATATAATATTATAATATATTATAATAATATATTATTAATATATTATAATAATATTAAAATAATATTATTAATATAATATTATAATAATATAATAATATTATAATAATATAATTAATTAATAATTTATTTTATTAAATATTATTATTATATTATGTTTATAATATTATATATATTATATATATTGTTTATATTTTAATATTATAATAATATAATAATATTGTATCAATGAATTATAATATAATGTAACAATTTATTTTATTAAATTATATTATTATATAATATTATATAATAATGTAATAATAATATTTATCAATAATAATATAATAAATGTATTAAAATATTATATAATATTATATAATAATTAATAATAATATTATATATAATAATATAATAAATTATTAAAATATTATATTATAATAAAATATAATAATAATAATAATAATAATAAATTGTTTTATTTTATGAATATATCATATATAGAAATTCCAGAAATAAATCATAGCAATAAATATTATATGGTGCCTATCATGATGACTCTTATAGTCATCACTGCCTTTCTTTCTTTCTTTCTTTCTTTCTTTCTTTCTTTCTTTCTTTCTTTCTTTCTTTCTTTCTTTCTTTCTTTCTCTCCTTCCCTCCTTCCTTCCTTCCTTTTGCAGTGCCTGCCTCCTCCATCTCCATCCTGGGTACCATAGGGTTAACCTTTCCCCTCTATATATATATATATATAGAGTGGAGGGGAGGGGGGGTCATGGAGAGCCAGCTGCTGACATCACTGGGCATGACTGGGCTCTTCTGTCCCTCCCTCCCCCCTCCCTCCCTGCTTGGGTGTGTGTGTGTGTGTCTCCTGGAGGGCTCCACTGCGCATGCCCAGTCCATCCCCATCCTCATCCCAGGCAGGCAACCTGGTGCCTCCCAGAGAAGGAAGGAGAAGCAGCCCTGCATCACCTGGCACCCTCACCTGCCCAGGTGGGAGGAAGAAGAGGAGGAAGAGGAAGAGGAGGAGGGAGGGGTCTGCCTGGACCTTGGCCCTTGGATGCCCCCACCCCGCCCGCCATGCCGGGAGAAGCCCTCCAAGCCCCCCAGGCCTCCCAGCCCCCCAAGGAAGGAGCAGGAGGAGGAGCAGGCCTGAGCAGCACACCTGAGGCAGGTGAGTGGCAGGCAGCAGGGGAGCAGCAATGGGGGTCCCTCATCATCCTATTCGGGGCTTAGGAGGTGGGCATAGAGAAAAAAAGGGGGGATGGAGGGAAGGAAGGAGAGAAAGGAAGGAAGGGAGGAAGGGCAATTGAAGGGATAGTGGAGGGAGCAAAGGAAGGAAGGAAGGAAGGAGAGGAGGGAGCGATGGGGGTCCTTGATGATATTAGAGGTTTAGAAGGTGATGAAAGATAGAAGAAGTGATGGAGGGGAAAAGAAGGAAGGAGAAGGCAAGGGAAGAGGAGGGAGAAAGGATGGATGGAAAGAAGGAAGGAAGGAAGGAAGGAAGGAAGAAGGAAGGAAGGAAGGAAGGATGGAAGGAAGGAAGGAAGGAAGGAAGGAAGGAAGGAAGGAAGGATGGAAGGAAAGAAGGAAGGAAGGAAGGAAGGAAGGAGAGAAAGGGCAATTGAAGGGATATTGGAGGAAAGGAAGGAAGGAAGGGCAATCGAAGGGGTATTGAGGGTTTGGAGGTGGGTGAAGAAGGAAAGAGGGGAGGAAGGAAGGAGGGAAAGAAGGAAAGAAAGGAGCAAAGGAATAGTCAGTCTGGGGGTCCTTGATCATTATATTTGGGGCTTAGGAGGTGGGAATAGATAAAAGAAGAGAAGGAAGGAAGGAAGGAAGGAGAGAAAGGGCAATTGAAGGGATATTGGAGGAAAGGAAGGAAGGAAGGGCAATCGAAGGGGTATTGAGGGTTTGGAGGTGGGTGAAGAAGGAAAGAGGGGAGGAAGGAAGGAGGGAAAGAAGGAAAGAAAGGAGCAAAGGAATAGTCAGTCTGGGGGTCCTTGATCATTATATTTGGGGCTTAGGAGGTGGTCGTAGAGAAAAGAAGGGATGGATGGAGGGATGCAATGAAGGAAGGAAGGGAAGGAGGGAGGGAGGAAGTGCAGGCAATTGAAGGGATATTGGAAGGAAAGAAGAAAGGAAAGGAGCAATGGGGGTCCTTGATGATATTAGAGGTTTAGAAGGTGATGAAAGATAGAAGAAGTGATGGAGGGGAAAAAGGAAGAAAGAAGGGTCGATGGAAGGGATATTGGGGGCTTAGAAGGTGGTTGATATAGAAAGGAAAGAAAGAAAGAAGGGAGCAAGCAGTGGTAAGTTATGGGGGTCCTTGATTATTATATTAGGGCTCTAAGAGGGAAGGAAGTAAGAAAGAAAAGGAAGGAAAAAGGAAAGAAAGAAAGAAAGAAAGAAAGAAAGAAAGAAAGAAAGAAAGAAAGAAAGAAAGAAAGGCGGACAACACAAGGAGCATTGGGGTCTTAGAAGGTGGAATGGACAGGTATGGGGGTTATAACATTAGTAGCTTAGAAGGTGATCAAAGAGAGAGAGAGAAGGGATAGATAGATAGATAGATAGATAGATAGATAGATAGATAGATAGATAGAAGGAAGGAGAACAGAAGGGGCTTTGGGGGTCTTAGAAGGTGGGTGAAGAAGGAGGGAAGGAAGGAAGGAAGGAAGGGGAGCAATGGAAAGGTATGGGGGTCCTTGATTATAATAGAGATGGAGGGAAGGGGGCAATGGAAAGGTTTAGGGGTTTCTTGCTTACATTTGGGGGGATAGAAGAGAAGGGGGTGGGTCTCATGGGCGTGGGCAAGGGTGCCTTTTCTTACCTTGGGATCTCAATAGCACCGAAATATTTAAAATACTACTAATTATTATTATTTATTTACTTTTCTCCCACTTTTCTCTATGGATTTGGGTCTAAATAGGGCACTGCCTTCTCTCCTTGAGCTTGGAGACCCCTTTGCCTTCTCTCCCCAATAATAATAATATTTATTATTATTATTATTATTATTATTATTATTATTATATTACTAAATAGGGCACCGCCTTCTCTTCTTGGGCTTGGAGACCCCCTTTCCCTTCTCTCCCCAATAATAATAATAGTTATTATTATTATTATTATTATTATTGTTTATTAATTATTGTTAATAACAATTATTATTATTATTATTATTATTATTATTTTATTATTATTATTATTATTATTATTGTATTGTATTGGCTTTCATGGCCGGAATCACTGGGTTGATGTAGGTTTTTTTCGGGCTATATGGCCATGTTCTAGAGGCATTCTCTCCTGACGTTTCGCCTGCATCTATGGAAAGCATCCTCAGAGGTAGTGAGGTCTGTTGGAACTAGGAAAATGGGTTTACATATCTGTGGAATGACCAGGGTGGGACAAAGGACTCTTGTCTGCTGGAGCTAGGGGTTTGATGTTTCAACTGACCACCTTGATTAGCATATAATGGCCTGACAGTGCCTGGAGCAAACTTTTGTTGAGAGGTGAGGGGTGAATATTTCAACTGACCACCTTGATTAGCATTTGATGGCCTGACAATGCCTGGAGCAATCTTTTGTTGAGAGGTGATTAGATTATTATTATTATTATTATTATTATATTTCTTCTCCCTGGCCAAGGTCAGAGGAAAAGGAGGCGTCCGGCTTTGTTCTCCCCTGGCAAAAGAGACCAGACCCCCATTGATTCCTATTTTTTTGGGGGGGGCTACTATTGGGGAGCCTTCCCTTCCCGATCTCTACCTGGAAGGTGACACCTCCTTGGCTGCAAAATGCTTTAGGTAAACGCCCCTCAACAAAGCAGACCTGGGCCAACTTCGGCCTTCCCTCCAGGTGTTTTGGACTACAACTCCCACAATTCCTAACCCGGTAGGCTGTTAGGAATTGTGGGAGTTGTAGTCCAAAACACCTGGAGGGAAGGCCGAAGCTTTGTCGTCATTACGATGGAGCCTGTTATGCTAGAATAGTGCTGCCAAAAATCCTTTCTGTGAGTGAATATATTATTATTATTATTATTATTTTTCCGAGCGCCGCAATATTGATTGCAACGGCCATTATGATAAAGAGGTAGAGGCAGGGCGTGCATTTCGCCAATGCTTTCAGAGAGATAGATAGATAGAGACACTTTGGGATTTGTTTATTTATTTCTTGCAAGGGCCGCAGGAAAAGCTTTCCGGTGGATGATGACTTTGCCCGAATGCAGGCGGAGGAGACCTTAATGGGTCTTGCAGGGAATTAGCAGAGATGTCCGGGCATTCGTCTTCTCCATCAACCCCCAACCCAGCCTTTGATTGGCCCCCTTTTTTGGAGGAATACGGCAATCTATATTCTTGGCTGTATCTATAGGTCGTTGTGCATTGTGTAGCATTGCGAGGAATCGATGTGCGAGCGTTGCAGGAAGGCCCTGAAATTCAAAATATCCCTGCACCGAGGCACATGATTTTCGGGGCATCCTGACTCAGCATTTGCCGGCTCGCGAAGTGAAGCCTTGCATGGATCTCACAGGGATGGAAAGTGTGTGGCGTGAGAGGGAGGACTACAACTCCCAGCATGCTCCGGGTGGCTTGGGGAACGATGGGAGACGTAGTCCGAAAGGTAACTTTCCCAATTAGGGTGTCGCTCTCGCTAGTAACCATCCCATTCAAAAAGCGAAAGTGTTCCAGGCGGGTTGGGGATGATGGGATATGTAGTTCCATCATCCCCATGTAGGAAACGTTTGTGATCAGGTGTCCACCAAGTCTCTTATCTTATTCAATGTGTAGCATGACAGAGAGAGCTATGGGTCCCAGAAAGCTCTAGAGTGGGTTGGGGATGATGGGATATGTAGTTCCATCATCCCCATGTAGGAAACGTTTGTGATCAGGTGTCCACCAAGTCTCTTATCTTATTCAATGTGTAGCATGACAGAGAGAGCTATGGGTCCCAGAAAGCTCTAGAGTGGGTTGGGGATGATGGGATATGTAGTCCAAAAGGTAACTTTTGTGATCAGGTGTCCCCCAAGTCTCTTATCTCAATGTGCTATAATATGTAGCATGACAAAGAGAGCTGTAAATCCAAGAAAGCTCTAGAGTGGGTTGGGGATAATGGGATATGTAGTCCAAAAGGTAACTTTTGTGATCAGGTGTCCACCAAGTCTCTTACCTCATTCAATGTGCTATAATATGTAGCATGAGAGACAGAGAGAGTTACAGGTCCCAGGAAGCTCTAGAGTGGGTTGGGGATGATGGGCTATGTAGTCTGATAGGTAACTTTTGTGATCAGGTGTCCACCAAGTCTGTTATCTTATTCAATGTGTTGTAATATGTAGCATGACAGAGAGAGCTACAGGTCCCAGAAAGTTCTAGAGTGGGTTGGGGATAATGGGATATGTAGTCTGATAAGTAACTTTTGTGATCAGGTGTCCACCAAGTCTCTTATCTCAATGTGCTATAATATGTAGCATCACAGAGAGAGCTACGGGTCACAAAAGTTACCTTTCAGACTACGCATCCCATTATCCCCAACCCACTCTAGAGCTGAGTGGGTTGGGGGTAATGGGATATGTAGTCCAAAAAGTAACTTTTGTGATCTCTTATCTCAATGTGCTATAATATGTAGCATGACAGAGAGCGCTACAAATCCCAGAAAGCTCTAGAGTGGGTTGGGGATGATGGGATATGTAGTCCAAAAGGTAACTTTTGTGATTAGGTGTTCACCAAGTCTCTTATCTCAATGTGCTATAATATGTAGCATTACAGAGAGAGCTACAAGTCCCAGAATGCTCTAGAGTGGGTCGGGGATGATAGGAAATGTAGTCCAAAATGTAACTTTCCCAATAGGTTGTTTACTTAGGAACTATCTCATTCAAAGTGCATGAGAGAGACAGAGAGAGGGAGCTATAGCTCCCAGCATGCTCCAGGTGGGTTGGGGATCATGGGAAATGTAGTCAAGGTAACTTTTTCAATAAGATGTCCACCCAGTATCTATCTACTTCAGTGTGCTATAATTATGCAGCATGCAGCCTCAAATGCTCCAGTTGGGTTGGGGATGATGGGAGATGTAGTCTGAAAGGGAACTTTCCCAATCAGGTATCCACCCAGTATCCACCTTACTCAATGCGCTATAATTATATAGCCTGAGAGAGCTACAGCACTTCAAATGCTCCAGATGGGTTGGGGAT